ACTGAAATACAGTGACTTTAGTGCAAACATATTTTTAAAAGATTTACAGTTTTGATAAATAAAACCAAGAACCCTATTAGCAGAGTTACAAATATTTTGAATATGATTTACAAAGCTAAACTTACTATCAAACAGAATTCCATCTTTGACTAAGCTAGAACGGGACAATGAGATATGTTCAATATTATAGTTAAATCTAATTGAATTAAGTTAAGAGTAAACAAGCAAACTTTACATTTAGATATGTTTAGGCCTAAGCAGTTTTCCTTACACCACTGCTGAATTAAGTTCAGATCTGACTGAAGAAGCTCGCAGTCTTTAACATCTCATACAGTGTGATATAACTTTAAATCGTCAGCAAAAAGTAATTTTTGAGTTTTTAGTGAAGAAACAAGGTCATTGATAAAGAGATTAAATAATAGCGGTCCCAAGTTTGACCCCTGGGGTACTCCTGAGGTAGCTACAAAATATTTTGATTTAAACCCTTGAAACGAAACATATAATTTACGATTATTCAAATATGAAGCTATTAATTTAATTAACGAATCTGAAAGTCCAAATGAACCAAGTTTGTTAATCAAAATATTATGTACAATTGTGTCAAAGGCCTTCAAGAAATCCGTGTACACAACATCCACCTGCCCACGATTATCAATAGTATCAGCAACAAACTGTGAGAAAACAGTTAAGTTTGTTAGTGTAGATCTATTACTCATAAAACCATGTTGTTGGGGAGTAATCACGGTCTTATATAAGACCGTGGGAGTAATACATAATGACAGCAAAGGGCAGATGCGGCTATATAAACAGACCTCAAAGACCTTCGCAAAATTGGACAATATTGCTATTGGTCTGTAATTAGCAATTTTCGCAGCTTCACCAGATTTAAACACAGATGTCACACGAGTTAACTTCCAGATACTTGGAAATTCAGAAGTTCTTAATATAAGATTAAATATCTTTAACATTGGCGTTACAAAGGTATGAGAGCAATCCTTAATTAAAAATGCTGGAATTAAGTCATCACCGGCAGTAAAACCACATTTTAGTTTTCGAAATGGATATCGTCTTCAGTAAACTCATGTATATGTATACTTTGAATAATATTACAAGTAGTTGAGGAGATGTACACAACATCCGTGTACACAACATCCACCTGCCCACGATTATCAATAGTATCAGCAACAAACTGTGAGAAAACAGTTAAGTTTGTTAGTGTAGATCTATTACTCATATAACCATGTTGTTGGGGAGTAATCACGGTCTTATATAAGACCGTGGGAGTAATACATAATGACAGCAAAGGGCAGATGCGGCTATATAAACAGATCTCAAAGACCTTCGCAAAATTGGACAATATTGCTATTGGTCTGTAATTAGCAATTTTCGCAGCTTCACCAGATTTAAACACAGATGTCACACGAGTTAACTTCCAGATACTTGGAAATTCAGAAGTTCTTAATATAAGATTAAATATCTTTAACAATTCACCGGCAGTAAAACCACATTTTAGTTTTCGAAATGGATATCGTCTTCAGTAAACTCATGTATATGTATACTTTGAATAATATTACAAGTAGCTGAGGAGATGTTATTTTGATCATGTGGCTTTAAGTATACGCTTCTGAAATAATTAGAAAATTCATCAACAATTTCCTGTGGCGATTCTAAAAGACTATCGCCAGAAAACATTTTGCGTGGGATACGCGAGTTACCCGGACAACAATCGGGATTTCCTGGTGAAGTCATGATGATATCACAACGTGATTTTTTTTATCACGCTGTGATATCCTGAGTGAATACACATGCTTCATCACAGTGTGATATTTGCAAAATTTGCGCATGCGTATGAGCCCTGCGAACTGCGAATTTAAAACCTAGTTTGTTATTCACATTACACCGTTATAATTTATAAAACGTTGTTTGAATATCAAGAATGTTGTCCGGGTTCAATTAAAAAAGATATTCCAATGTTTAACAAAACGTGAACGTTTTGTTAAACATTGGAATATCTTTTTAATTGAACCCGGACAACATTCTTAATATTCATACGAACATTATGTCGTGATTTTCACAAATTTTATTCATACTGATATTATACGGAATTCACCGCGTGATAAATAAAAATCATACGAACGTCACGTCGTGATTTTCAAATTTTATTCATATGGACATCATCCAGATGTCACTGCGTGAGAAATGAAAATCATGTCGTGATTTTTTATGCCATCACTGTTTGCGATTGACCGATGGCCTAAAAAATCACGACATGATTTTTTATGAATCGGTGTTTGGGCATAAAAAATCACGACATGATTGTTTATGCCATCGGTGCACCGACATTTTTGGATATTTATTTTTGCGCCACATTCGTACATTAAAAGAAAAAGTATGTTAACAATTGAATTACCAGTTTTTGCGGTCAAATACATTTAATATTTTCTTGGATGTAAATTAACTAATAATTTTAATCCAAAAAAATATTGAATGTATTTAACCACAAAAACTGTTGATTCAATATATATGTAGGTATACTTTTTCTCTCAATGTACGAATGTGGCGCAAAAATAAATATCCAAACACCGATGGCATAAAAAATCACGACATGATTTTTTATGCCATCGGTGTTTGGATATTCATTTTTGCGACACATTCGTACATTGAAAGAAAAAGTATGTTAACAATTGAATCAACAGTTTAACATTCAATATTTTCTTGGATTTAAATTAACTATATATAGTTAATTTAAATCCAAGAAAATGTATTTAACCGCAAAAACTGTTGATTAAACATAATTTTTCTCTTAGTGTACGAACGTAGCGAAAAAATGATATCCAAACACCGTTGGCATAAAAAATCCCGACATGATTTTTTGTGCCATCGGTCAATCGCAAACAGCGATGGCATAAAAAATCACGACATGATTTTCATTTCTCACGCAGTGACATCCGGATGATGTCCGTATGAATAAAATTTGTGAAAATCACGACGTGACGTTCGTATGATTTTCATTTATCACGCGGTGACTTCCGTATGATATCAGTATGAATAAAATTTGTGAATATCACGATATGATGTTCGTATGAATATCACGAATGCTGTCCGGGTACTTTTATTTGAATTTACATATGACCAAAATTTGTTGGGATCAGACTGTAGGCTAGACTCTATCTGATTTAAGTGTACCTGATAACAATCTTTAGTTAATATCTTTACCAATGTGCGTTGTTTTTTAAACTGAGTGTGATAATATTGATTACCAAACATGCGAAAATATTTAAAGTAATAATCCTTAAGTTTTAAACTTTGAATTAGTTCATACAAATACCATCTAGGATATTTTTTATTTTGAGAAATATATTTAGGAACGTACCGATCTATGATAGTATAAAGATCTTTGTAAAACATATCACATGCCAAGTTAGCATCATTGCTTTCAAAGTACCAATCATGATTTAGAATAGCATTGTAAAGATCCGGAAAATTACTCCTTTTAAAATTGTAAGCCTTGTTATTCGGACAACTGCTAAAGTTAGTATATTTATTTGCTAAAAATTCAAAACGTATGCTTAGAGGGGGATGATAGTTGTCCATATCCACCAGAGGTACAGCCTCATAGACACAAACATCCATGAGATCACTCAAAACAAGATCTAGTAAACCGCCATACCTGTTATGAATATCATTAAATTGAGAAATATTTTGAAAATTACAATAATTTTGATAATTAACATATTTACGGTTATTAGGCTGCATATTAGAAATATTCGAGGAAATATTAAAATCACCAATTATAATAACATTCACCAGGTTTGTTGTAGTTTGTTCAAATAGTTCAAAAAACAATTCAAAGTTTTCAACAGTAATCTGTGGGGGAATATAAGTAACAAAAATATAAAACTTATTATGATTAATCGTGCATTTACATCCAACTATATCCACAACAATAAATTAACCTGATCTAAATCATAATCAGTTTTACATGCTAGCAGTGGCGGCTGGTGGATTTTGGGCACACCCATATCTCAGTTATTAGACATGGGACCCATATCAAATTTATATGAGTTTATAATGACATTATATAGAGAAGTTCTGCGCAGGCAGAATTTAAATTTAAGTTTGCGAAAAAAAGTTAGTTTTTAAGTGCAACCGCCAGCATCCTGCCCCTCCAAATTAAGATAATTCAAATTAAAGTGGTACAATATTTAATTCACTGAAGTTTATCGACAAATTTCAAATTTTATTAAAAAAATTCAAGAATTACAGGTTTTATACCATTTACAGTTTTTCTTATTTCTTTAGCTAAATTTAAAAAAATTATAAATGGTATAAAACCTGTAATTCTTGAATTTTTTTAATAAAATTTGAAATTTGTCAATAAACTTCAGTGAATTAAATATTGTACCACTTTAATTTGAATTATCTTAATTTGGAAGGGCAGGATGCTGGGGGTTGCACTTAAAAACTAACTTTTTTTCGCAAACTTTAATTTAAATTCTGCTTGCGCAGAACTAGTCTATATAATGTCATTATAAACTCATATAAATTTGATGTGGGTCCCATGTCTAATAACTGAGATATGGGTGTGCCAAAATCCACCAGCCGCCACTGCATGCTAGTAATACACCACCACCTCTGTTTACATTCAGTGAAATAAAATTTCTATCCCTACGAAAAACCTGATACAATTGAGGTGAAAATATCTCACTAGAAGATACATTGGCTGACAACCATGTTTCTGTAAGTGCTACAAAATTATAATCTAAGTTAACATATAAATTAGAGTAAAGTTCATCAATTTTTGTATTTAAGCCTCGAACATTTTGGAAGAATATCACATATGCAGTCTTGACCTTTTCTTAGGGCAAATTTAGTTTAAATTACAAATTTTTGGTATACCACGAATGTATTTTATGGTCAGATTGGACTCGCCTTTTGAAATTCGATCATTTAATTCAGTCTTCACGGAATTAAAGTAGTTGAGTTGCTTAGGGGTACGGTCAGAAGCTTCTAATTGAAGAGTAGTGTGGATTTTCCCGTAACACCTTTGACTTAGATAAAAGTCGAAAAACTTGAGATTCACCCTGTAACTTGATTTTAAGTGGTCTAGGTAGTTCCTTTGTTGCATCAAATTTCCCCAATCTAATTGGTTTAGCTGTATCGACGGTTATGTTGGGAATCAGATGGTGCAGTACTTCTGAAATCTTTGATTTGTCCAGATTACAACGGTCACTGCTTGAAATGGAACATTCCTGTTCCGGTATTCCATAAATAATTATATTGGACTTCCTAAGATTTCTTTCGTTTACTTCCTGGACAATTTCTTCGAAATCAAATCCAGATTTGGTTGTCGAGTTAGTGCTCATTCATAATGGATGTAACCATAAGATGCCCGTAAGAAATACGTAAAACGTAAAGTTGAATATTAACAAAACCAGTGTGCCTGTTTATAATGAATAGCCGTAATTTTTACGTTTTACGTTCGAACATAAGATCTTATGGGTGACCGTAAAAAATACGTAAAGTTGAAATCATCTCAACTTTACGGGTTTCTTACGTGTGAATTTTAGTAACTTTCATGATTTCACTAGAACATTGTTGGTAGCAATCAGGGTAGTAGCCATGCAAACAGATGACAGATCTTTTTCAAGTGTATTCTGGTGTATCCACAGAACAAACAATCTAAAGAACCATTCCTTATCCTAAAGTTTAGTTCGAGTATTATTCAACCAAATTCGCCCTTTTTTTCTTCTCTTTGCTAACGTATATATCGCTCATTACACTAAGGTTATGATAACACTGATAGTTTTAACTTAATTTATATTTATAATTATAATTATTATGTCTTAAAACTTTTGAGTTTTAAGACATAATAATTTTAGTGAACTTGGACATGCGCGCCTTATTAATATATACATAAGGCATACGTTCATTATAAATAAAAATAAAATTTATAAAAACGTAATCCTATTATTGGGCCCTGGGCCTGTTGGATACGAATAAATAAATAAATAAATAAACACAACTCATCGTTACGTACAAATTATGGTGATATTATGTTTACGTTTTACGGTCATCTTATGATTACGTCCATTATGAATGAGCACTTATCAAATGAGCTTTGAAGGGATTGCATTTGCACCTTTAATGCTTCAATGGTACTTTTTAGCTCACTTATTACTTCAGTAAGGTGAGCACATGTCTGGCAAGAAACTGGTTGAACTTTAGGAGGCATGTTTAACGGCAATTCTTGAAGCAGGAGAAATATTAAAAATCTGGCAACGTCGCTCCTATTTTATCCGCACCGGCTTGGAGAGTAATTAGAGGTTAATTATAAATAACACTTAATTTAGGAAAACCAATTAGCTCCAGAAACCAAAACTTCACTTACTGCAAGATCCACAGTATCAAAATTTCTTCATTTATAGTCTACTAATTTAGTCTACTAATTTATTCAATAAACAACTGCAAGTCACTAAACGATACACTGTTGCCAAGTTTCGTTTATATTTGAACATTAGATTAAATGGCCAATGACCGAGGTCCTTCAGCCAAATGTGCTTAATTTTAATAGTATATTCTGTAACAAGTTTGGAATACGGCATATTCCGCTCGAGTGAAAAGTTTGTCACACGAGCCGAAGGCGAGTTTGACGGTTTCACGAGAGGGGAATATGCAATTCTAAACGTGTTTCAGACCGATCCAACCTCACTTTCTTCCAATTAAAATATTTGTCTATGGTATTTTTTGGACACGTAGAAAAAGTATACCGTACCTTCATTTTCAAGCTAACCATAGGGAAAATACATTGTAACTGGACCAAGTCACAGTCAACACAAAGCGAGAAACCTTCTTAGAAATGATTTGGATTTTACCAGATTTACACCGCACAAAATACAAAACAATAATAAAGCATCGATGTATGAAGCAAGGTCAACTGTTACGGCGCATGCTAGCTTACTCGTTTACGCGTCAAAATCATTTCTACAACGTTTTTCGCTTCGTGCTGACTAAGACTTATCTGGTCCAGTTACAATGTATTTTTCCTATGGTTAGCTTGTAAATGAAGGTACGATAGACAAATAATTTAATTGGAAGAAAGTGAGGTTGGATCGGTCTAAAATTTGTTAGATATTAAAAACAGAGATGTCGCCACAGATGATAGAATATTTCATTCTGTAACACTTGACGGAATAAATGTCATTTCATAGATAAAAGTGATATTAGAACGATCAAATTCCATAATAGGAGTAGAAAAATTGATATTAAACAATAATAATGTCAATGGTAATGCTTTTTAATTTTACTGAGTATAGAAAGGAAAAAAAAAGAAGTTAGTCTAGAATTGATTTGAGTAGTTTGAGATGTTTGAATTTCTGTTTTTCTGGGTGTCTTGTAAAGCAGTGTTCTTCCAGTGTTTCTATGTTGAGTTGTTTTAGGCAGAAATTTGTGGTTAGCCTTTGATTGGTTCAATCCCTGTTCTCCAGGGCTCCCAGCAGGTAGTTTTTTTAAAGACTTGTCTATATTTTTGTCTTAAGTCTATAAAAGTCTATTTTTTTACATAAAGTCTATAAAGTCTATATTTTCTGTTAAAATCAACTAGTAAAAAATAATATAAATATTCACAGTTTTATAAATATCGAAACCACAGTAAACCAAGTGAAACATTCGAAAACTTCGCAGTTTACATTTAAAGTTCCCGCCGTCCAGACCCGAACCGCCCGCCAAAATTATTGCTGAATTGTTTCTGGTTTGGTCTAGGGTTTCGTTTACGTTTATAGTTTTGGTTCGCTAGGTTAACACTACCTATATATGCATTTTTCATGAAATTAGTAAGTACCTAGTATCTATCAAAGAACATGTGACAAAGAATGTGTTTCTATTCTATGTTTTATCATCCATTCCATAACCCTAAAAAAGTATGTTCAGACGATAGCAAAGGTAAGTGTATAACTATAGTTTTGATTATTAAAAATTATACATTTATATTATTTAATAAAAACAAAGTTTAAATGTACTTGTATACTTACATAAAAAAAATTAAATTGAACGATTAAGGAAGGGTGCAGAAAATAAAAAAATGACTAAAATATGTATGGCTCAACTAATGTTTGAAGGAGTGAACCATCCCAAAAAAGAAGGGGGGAAGGTAACTTACAAGATTAGTCATCTTGCCCAAGATTTAGAAAAACAAAAGGCGAAAATTATAGATCAGCTGCAGCCCAGCAAAAAAAATATAACACATTAAATGACTGATGCCAGTGCCTTTTATATAAATGTGATTCTATTTATTATAAGTTATAATTTATTTCAGAATTTAATTTTTTTTTTGTTATTTATGTATTTTATAACAGTTATGGTTACTTGTTAAATTTAATTCAATAAAAATTTATAATTTCAAGTTATCTCTATGAATTTTAAATTTAAATTTAGATCTTTTATCCCAAAAAAATGTATACCTCCATTTTATAGTTATTTCGGTAATTAATTTGGTCGTTTATTTTTTATTATTAGTCTCTTAAGTCAGTATTTCTCGCAACATCGACTGCTGGGAGCCCTGCTGTTCTCCTGTGCAACAATGTTTGATGGATTGTGGAGGTTGTTGTTGGGGTGGCGTATTCTGGTAAGTATCCTAAGTGCAGATGTCTCTCCCACTTGAATGTTCTATATTGTGGACTTTTGAGAATTTGTGTAAATAGGCCAAGCATATTCTAAAATGGGCCTGCAAATGGTTTTATATATTTTGCAGGCAACATCCATGTTTATCCCATCTCCTTTGTAAGTCAGTGCTCTGAAATGTTTTGCTCTTGCTTGTATTTTCATCTGTGAGTGTTGTTTCAGGTTTATTTTGTTGTCAAGTTGGATGCCAAGATATATTACTGTTGTTTTTGGGAGTGTTGTTTAGAATAAGACTTGGGGAGTTGGGCTTGGGTGTGCGGTGAATATTATAAATTGAGATTTTAAAGGATTTATCTTAAGTTACCAGATGTTAAACCATTCTTTCACTTTTTCTAGTACCTTTTGAAGTATTTGCGTTGCTTTTTTTGTTGTTTTCTCATGTGTTATTATAGCAGTATCATCTGCAAATTGTAGAATATAACTTTTGTTATCCATAGTAGGTAAGTTGACGATGTCTGAGCAGTACAAATTGTATAGTAGAGGGGTAAGGGGGGGAACCTTGTGGAACTCCCTGTTCTGCTGGAAATGCATTTGAAGTTTTTTGTCCAATTTGTACTAACAATGATCTTTCTTGCAAAAAGCTGTTGATCATTCTTAACAAATTTTTTTTGACAATTCAAATTATTAAGTTTAAATAAAAGTTATTTATGCCATACACTGTCAAACGCTTTTTCAATATATAAGAATAATCCTGCTGTTATTTGACCTTTAAGTCTTGCTATCTGTGTGTTGGATAGGATAATTGTTATAGGGTGTGTTGTGGATGTGTTTGGTTTGAATCCAAACTGAAAACTGGGAATGTTTTCAATTTTGTTTTTAATAATTTTTTCTCAGAACTGGTAAAAGGGTTATAGGTCTATAGTTCTTAAGTTTGCTGTGATCAGAGTTAGGTTTTGGAATTGTAATTATAACTCCGTCTTTCCATTCTTTTGGAAAATATGCATTATTAAGACAAAATTTGTAAATTTTAATTATGTGTTCATGTAGGTAAATAACAAAAAATTTAATAATTCATATTTATATCAATTGAATGTTGGAAGCATGATACTACATAAGACTTATGTATGGATAAAGGCAAAGTGTTCTGCAAGTTCCGTAGCTTTTTCCTTATCAGTGATATACTGAGTGTTGTTATGATTAAGAGCAGGTATGTTTTTTTTAGTTTTCTAAGTAGAACCCACAAGCTGTTGTCTGAAGTTGTTAATTTTGCTAATGTGTCAATCCACACTTTATTGTTATGCTCCCTTATGTCATTTTTTATTTCAGTTGGTTATAAGTGACTTTATCAATTTGATTTTTGTGTAATTATCAGTATCAGGCCGATTGTGCTGTGGTTTAATTTTTTTATTAGTTATGGTTTTATTCCTGGCTGTTAAAATATTTTTTGTTAAAGTTTCTATTTCATTGTCTTTGTCTTGTGTATTAAATAGATTGTTATTAATAATAGTTAATGAGCTAAGAATTTTGCGAAATTTGTTCCAATATGTGTGTTTATAGTTAATCAGGATTATATCTAGTGGTTTAGGGTTTTTTAATGCTTTGTCCACACAGAGTGGAAGCCCTGCTTAAAATACCCCATAGAGACCTATATAAAATAATCTATGGGGCGCTACCGGATTCAATATGTGCATTTGTCCATGGTTTTTTTCCGGATACGGCCCGATAGAAAATTTATAGGAAATTACCTATAGGCACACCATAACTTTTACATTTTCCCTATTGAGACCGATAGCAAATAACTCAATGAAGGATATATGGGGTAAAACACCTCAAGTGTTCCCACCTAAAAATGATGTTTTCTCCAATTTTAACAAAACTTTGCCAAATCATTGTCCTATTGGACTACCTTTGACTTTCCAAATGGGGGGCAAAAAGGATTAGCGCTTAAAAGACGTCGAAATATTCAT